CAAGTCCAGATCCAAAGTACCATTCCGCCTGGTCTCTAATTATCATTCATATATATATATTAGGTGATAATAATATAATAGCAACAATAATATCTTTCCTATCTCTCGCGAGTGACAGGCAATCACTCGACTTCTACCCAAGTCCTGTAGCATAGCAATCTACACGATCCTGTCATACTAGTAAGACTCATAGGATAAGGGTATATATATATATGCAAGTGATTTTCATTCAACTCCTTAAAACTTAATGCACAAGCATAAAATAAAGTGCAGAATAATCGGGGTTATGCACCGGGGCTTGTTTGGGAAAAATATAACCAAGTTAGCTTTCCATCATGGCGACATGATCATCAAGGCACCATCTTTTCTGCTACTTCAGTCATCTCCACGATCCATCGTTGTTCCTATTAGGATATATGTGGATGGAACGCATAGATGTAAATAATCAACGACAACTGAAACTCTTAGAAATTCGATTACGCCTCATAAGCTAACGAGATAACTCTAACGTGCTAGTCTATGTATCCACATCATCAAATAAGACTCATTCTCGGAAAATGTTTTCGTTCAACGAACCCTTGATTATTTTTGACATTTGATTGATTAAATATATATTTTTGTACTAGGACTCATTTAGTTACCTTAACAATCTAATTCCTATGGAGCTACAAAAATTACAGTGGGCACCTAATATTGTTAGGAATCTCCTGTAAAAATTTTAGGACCAACACTATCATTAATTTACCATAATAATTCCTACAAGTTTATATTTTGACAATATTAAATATCTCAAATTAATTATATAGCTTCTAAGAATATTATAAAACTATGTAAACAAAATATACTAGCAGATAGCAGATAGACAATGATTTTAAAAGTCAAACAAAATTAGTTTCACAATTTTTGGACATCTACACAAATTTATCTTGAATTTACAAATTTACCTTAGAAACTAATTTGGAAAACGCTTTAGAAAAAGAAAAGGACCGGTGGCAACCTTTCCAGCCCGGCGGCCCAGCATGGCGATGCGAGCGAGCATAGTAGCCGGCCCAGCAACGGCCCAAGGTGGGGGAACCCACGTGCGCGTAGCTCTTTTGCAAAAGAGGGCTCGAGCTTTCGGTTAATCAAACGGAGCAACGGAGCACTATTACTATAGACTTAGGCTTTGCATTAAAGACCCTGTAATGTGCTGCCTTTGCATCGGGGTAGTCCTCGGCATACCCGCGCTTGGTGGCGCGGCACACCGACGACAACACCGAGCAAGCTTGACCCGATGCGATAGGAATAACAGGCCGACCACCATCTACGGCCAAATCCGCAAGCATGAGTGGAGGTTAGGGACTTAGCGGCGTACTGCCGGGAGCGACAGCGGCGAGCGGCTAACAGCGGCGGCGGCGTGCCTGTTCCGACAAACCTATGCGCTCTCGGAAGGGTAGAGGTGGCGGTAGAGCATCAGTAGTTCACCTAGGTGCACGCTCCAACGACGGTTGAAGTAGGGGAGCGTTGGGGCAGGTTGGCCACGTGCGCCCACACCGCGCGGTGGCGCCCGGAGCGCGACACCAACGCGTCACCTCGCCAACGACGAGAAACCAAACTAACCTATCATGAGCACCAGCTAGAGGGGATCAACACGAGTCTAGAAACGCCACCAATTGGGCTCTTTCCCCACGGATTAGGACTTACCCCCGATCCACGACTGCAGCGGTGCCCATGGCTGGCGGCGGGCAAAACGCTAAATTGGCAGTCGGTAACACTTGGCTGGGCATGGGGAAGATGGGGCGCCTAATTGACCTCCTATGCCTCTTACTGGTGCGAGGAATCGGACTGTGGGGACCTGAGCTAGGTGAACCACTGGGCGGCGGCACGGTGCTCAGGCCAAGGTCGTGTCATGGAGAGGTACGCGAGTGAGCTCAAGCGGATTAAGATGGCGGCTCCGAGCGCTAGCTGTGGCCCGAGCATGTGCACACAGGCGACAAAATAGGGGAGAGCTTGGCGTGACGCGCTTGAATTGGAGCGGCCGGACCCGAGCAGATCGTGCCGACATCGGCTAGTGGGGCAGGGCAGGGCAGGGAGACGTCTCATCACCGCGGCTATCGGGGTTGACGACCTAGACGTGGAAAGACATGGATCATGCTCGGTACGACGTGGTATGTGGATCGAAGGGTGAGGTGGGCGCCACGTTGGTTGAGCCACAACCACCGCAGCCACGGCTTGCTCTACGCACAGCACCGCACCTAGTCGCCCAAGCGCGACGTGCGCGTGGCAATGGAAGCCCGGCCTCGACCAACCAGGGCTGGCCAACGCCAAGCCATAAACGCTACGCGGCATTGCCAGGCGCATGAACTGGCCAGCGGCAGCAGCCCGAGCATGGTCTGAGCCCGGCGCCAACAACGCCCATGCACGCGGTGACCGCGAACCCGGACCGAGGGGTGACAACAGGTGACGTGGACGCATTTTAAAGCTAAACGAGAACTGCTAACGACCAAGGTTTGGGTTCGACTCCATATCCTAACCTAAAGTCGATTATACCATCTACCCAGCGAAACCATCGCAAGGACCCGAGAGCAACCCGAGAGGGAGATAGGAGGATGCCAAGATGGGTTCGTCAAGCTAGGCGCTGGTTCACGAACCGAGCAGCAATTCGCTGTCCGCAGCGTGTTCTAACGAAGTTAGGCAATTTCTACGAGAGTACCGTGACACCTATCGCCACCTCGACCTACATCGTTCTCAAGTGCTCATTTCGATGCAGCTGATGGTGCAAAAACATGAAGTCGGTGTTTAGGAAATTTTATGGATATTTAAATGTCGAAGTAGCATTGTCTACCATCTTTTCAAACTTAAAAGGAATTCAAGGTTCCAGTTAGAACTAACACTCCCTAGCACTTTTGGTTGAATTTTTAAATGGTCTAAGCCTCGTCAACCTCAACTAAATAACATGTCATGACCTAGCGCATACTTCGTGCTAACTCATAGAAATAAACATCTAGGAATTATTTAACCCGTTTGTTAATTCGCCAAAGATCGATACTTTTAACATAAACTCAAGTTCCTACTGATTCCCGACGAGCTCTCGTTCTAAATTTCGGGTTTGATTCCCAAGCCATCAGATTTACTATTAAACAACTTCCACTCGCTAAAACAAAAGTTGCATTCTCATCTACTAACTTGCACTTCAAAATTTTATTTAAGTACTAAATACAAGTTATATTTTATGATGTTTACAAAAATTGTTTTTCATGCCAACGATTAAATCTGCCCGTCTATTTTCTTGTCGGGATTTTCATTAGCACATTTATGCGAGTTTTAACTCTAACACCCGAGAAACTTGCCTTGATAATTTCTCTTAGGCCTTAATCTAGGTGCTAAGTGAGCTCGTAACACCAGATGTGTTACACAGTGCACAATCAATACAATCTACTAGGATAAGCCAGTGTTACCACCTCATGAGGTCCTAAACCTATATAAATTTTGTGTCACATATGCTACTATCTAGATCTACTACTCACACAACACCCCACATTTCATAAGGAAATAAAAAGTGCTCTAAATCTCCCCACGCATAGCTTATCTTTTAACATTGAAATGGCTCATTAGTCCACTAGTGTGCTTGTTCTAGTATTCCACATGCTTGTGCTTAGCCAAAGTTTGAATGACCGCTAGTTAAGATTTCTGGAAATTCCTTATCCTCTTGAGTGTTGTTTTCAAGGCAAACCGCAAGTACAGAGTAGAATTTTGCTTTGTGTTTCAACCATGTTGAGCATACTCCCTATGTGTGTGATGGGACTCTATTTGCTACTTGAGATTGTACATAACAAGATGGATACCATAAGAACCAAGTTCTTTTGGCGAGGAGTTAACAATAATTTTAGATACCATATGATGAAATGAGAAGCTATGACCAGATCTAAGGAACAAGGGATTAGGGATTATAAATACCAAGGCAATGAATGAATGCTTAGTGTTACATGCACAAATTCTATCCCATCCACATTCACCATATTTCTAAAAAAAACTTGCAGATCATGCGATCCTCTGCTCCCTACTTTGAACTAGGGTTTTCTTTATGAACTCTAATCCCCTTTCTCTCCGCTTCTGAGACTTGCATGTTTCAACGTGTTCTCCAATGACTCCATCTTTCCTCCATCATCCAGCGTCGCCCTCAGCACTCAATAATGGGTCGTGAAAAAAACTAGGGCTAGCAGATCTTGGTTGGGCTCCTAAGGAGGAGGTTTAACATGGACACATATGAGAACTAGGACGTGGATGCAGTAGGCGACTTGACAGAGAGCACCAGAGACGAGCGAAGGGGGTGATTGGAGGCGCTAGGTATCACCTCCGGCAGGAAACACACGACCTCCCTAGCTAGGGGCCGAGGACGTGCGGTCTAATGATGTTCACTTGCATGCCATGTGTGTTAACACATGTACATGCAAAATTGGTGATTAGGTGTATTAACATAACATAAGAACATGTAATTGTTAGACATATCACGCATACTCCCATCGTCATGAAATACAAGGACGAAGCTACCTACATGGTAGTGTGTGTGCGCATGCACCCACGGCAAAAGAAAGTTTTAGAGCTAGCTATCATAATTTTTTGGTAATGCACCCCCCTCAGCTCAAGCACATGCACCCCTAAGCTCAATAGGAGCAGGCTAATAAGTCGAACAACATGCAAACTGGGTCCTAGCAGGCAAAACAAGAAGCCAATAGTGTGCGATTAGAGCCTTCTCCACCCAATCGTCATGGTTTGTTTGTGGGGATAAATGCTGATAGATGATGAATCTACTGCTCTACTGCTTGTCAACGTGCTTTCCTTGTTATCTGCCTTTTTTTTCTTCTTTCAAATCATTTTACTTCTCTAATTTAGTTCCAATCAATGCTTTACCTCTAGATACAAGCACGCGAGAGTCCGGGTCTGTATTTCGTTTACAAGAAATTGTACTCAACGGAGACGTACCTAGAGTTTGAATGATGATAACAAAGTGAATGAAGAATATGGCCGAGAGGTCATACAGAATAACCTATAGTTTTACTAAAAGTAAGAAAGTCTATAGTTTTAAACTACCTCTAGCCATAAATAAATCAACTTCTAGAGTTATCCTAATTCAAACTTTTATAAGTTTTAACCAAATCTATAGAAAAATCACACTAATATACATACTTGTTTAGAAAGACACTCATACTTGTGGTACACTAGCGCACTCCCCCTTAATCTTGCTCTAGATTCACACCTGCTGAAATATATAGTGCATTTTAAAAATCTTACATCTTAAGGAACACTCAAATGATGCATATACCCATAGATTATATCCAATTAAGGAATTTCTCCTTAAATTATGGTTTACTTTTTAACAAACTTTGTCTAATCTAGCTTAGTCACTACGTAGAATACATTATATTTCAACATAAATTTAGAAGTCACAGTACATCATATTTCAAGACAGTGAGAGTATATAGATTGAAAATGGATAAAATATGGGTTCATCCCAAGTAAAAATAAGATACCGCAACAATGACCCCTCTCCTGTTTCTGTAAAGCATCTCGTAAATATGGAAACGGGCGAGACAAAATAAAAAATAGAATAAGATTTTTTCGGTTCATTTTCATCCCTACCTATACTCATCAATATTGGTTTATTTTATTGCCTGGCCGCATAACTGACCTGGCAGAGATCGTGTGTTTTCGCTGAAATTACCTAAACGTGTTGTATTGCTTGCTAGTATTATTGTGGAGGTTTCTATCGAGAAGACTTTCCCAAAGTATCCAGCTGACATTCTGTATGTTGACATACTAGTGTCTTTTATTTATGCAGAAATGGAATATCTTGGAAACTTCTCACCGGCTACAGATGTCGTTGAAATTTTGTTATAGCCTACTCCTTGTAACTGTTTTGTACCCGTACGTATTGTAAGGCTGGAACCCCAGCACTTAACGTTGTAGTATATGTCTGTACCGATGGCTTTCTTAAAAGCAGGTTAATCTTTTTCTAAAGAAAACATGTTGAGCATACTCCAAAACTGCATCCGGGGAGCAAATATGGAGTGACGTGCCAATAACATGTGGAATCAGTAAGACTCAGATCCGATGTAGTGGTAGCACCTTACTAACAGTAGTAGCTGATAGCATCTTCCAGAGCGGTTTGCGCTTAAACCCACATCCACTAATCTCCCATTTGCTAATCCTGGCACAGGTGGTTAATCACCGCCCGGCCGAAGCACACGCGTCCCGGCCTTCCACTTGTCTCGCCTCCCCACCCCACCAATTTCCCCCGGCCTTCTCGCCCTCTGCGCTCTGCCTCGCTAATTCGCTCGCGCTCCGCGGCCGATTCCATTCCGCCTCCGCCGCACCGGCACTAACCCTAAAACCCGACCGTGCATCGTATCGTTGCTTGTCGCCTGATCATGTACGACTCTCTCTCTCTTGGGATTTTTTTTTTCCTGATTTTTTTCTCCGCGCTCGTTCGCCTCCAGATTGTATCGCCCTTTCTTTTCACTCACTTATTGGCCTTGTCTCATCCTGGAACTTGCATGTTTCCTGCAATTTGGTTAATCTTAATTGTATTCTACAAATAATTTCATGGCGCTGATCCTTTCACTGCAAGGATTATTTTTTTCTTTTTTTTTTCTCTTCCCTAATATTTTTTTAATTTTTTTTTCTGGCGGTAGTTTCGCTGCAATGTGTTTAGAGAGAAATCTCAAAGTAGTTTTTAGCTAGATTTTCCGTGCACTTTTCAATCTTCTGTATGGTTATAGCTTAACACTTAACCTAATTGTTGATCCGAACTCATTGTGGATGCGAGCTTCAAAAATTCTTTTTGGGTGTTGCAGAGATCGAATTGAAGCGGGGGATATATGTACAGGAACCAGTTTAGGTCGGATCGATTGAACGACCACGCCACCACCGCGCGAAGGCCCGGCCGCGGAAGCGGCAGTAGCACGCATTGGGTCGTCTCCGGCGGCCGTGGAAGCACCGCTCCGGCTGCGCGGCCGCGATCGCCGCCCTACCGGAGGTGAGACGCGTGTTTACTGTTTATTCATCGTGATGGCGCGTATATTGATTGTTATGATGTTTACATTTTTGTTGTGCCAATTGCATATTTTCATCTATTTGCAGCGGGAGGCCCGGGAGCGTGCAGCAGCAGTACAGGCCGAGGTCGCCGGCGGGTGCGCCAACCCAGGGGAATGCCACTGGCTGCTGTCCTCCTTGTGGGAGTGCTGCCGCTGCTGAGCATACGGGACCAGTGAACCAAGGTGCAAATGCGTGTGCTGTGTGAACTTCCGTAGCCATCACTTTCACTTTCTTTGAGCGTACTTGCATGCTTGACGTGCACAGAAGAGTTTGTGGATGTGGATCATGCCATTATGAGGTGTTGCCACTGGAATTCTATTGTTTTCTTTTTTCTATATATAACCCTTAAGCATGACATTTTTTTCTTTTGTGGTAAGTTTCTAGCAGATATTAATGAGATCAGAATGTTTAGAAACCGATTACATTTATTTCTTGTTACCACTTAGCTAATATATATCACAGCATAAACTATCTTGCTAAAGCTTTCTTCTTAGCGAAACTGTCTGATGATCTCTCTTTCTTAGAGACTTTCGGATCACTGGATAATGTGAAACCTTCCAATGTTCCTGCTCAGAGTGATGTTTTGAGCTCAGTCTCTGCTGAAGGAACCTGGGCAGCAGATTCCCCAACCCCAACACTACAGACAAAAGGTTCTTCTGCTTTGCAAGAATTTTGAGCTTAACATGATAGCAGCAACAAGTCCTCTAGTTATATTTTAAATTGATTGTGATTGTAATATTGGATAAGATTACCTTCTGAATTCTGATGATGTTGGCCCACAGGATATTCATCCCCTCCATTTACTCTTCAGTTCGGAACTTTTAGCCCTGGAGTTATTAACAAGCAGGTATGGGATCCTTGTTCAACTATTTTTCTGTTGGCTTTTCAGTTTGCTACCCGCTAATGCTTCATGCTGATCTTCTCACAGGAAACTACTTCCTGCACATCCTCATCCCCTCCTGATCTGAACGGGAAGAAACATGAAAAGGTCTGCTCATTTCTCATGATTTATTTCACTAAATGGATTTATTTGGAACACCTTTTTTTGTTGAAAATTTTGAACCATCCTTTTCGCTCATGCTATTGGATAATTTCCTTGATTCTAAATATCTTTTCAGTGCTTAGGTATGCGAACTCTCTAATCAAGTAAACCAAGATGCTTGGATGTGCAAAAATGGAGATAGAATTATTCAATAAAATAGAAATGATAAAATGCCATGCTTCTGCACATCATACCATGTCAAATGATGGTTGACTCTTTCTTCTGCACACCATAATGTATATGCTTGTATCCTGATGTAAGTTATAATACATTTTTGTGGAGCCATTTAGTAATATGACTGCATCTTAATTTGGATCATCATGCTTCTCTAGTCTGCAAGTGAATTGAGATACCATATATCTTCCTCTTTGCATTAACTTTGTGCTACTATTTTGCGCTTACCTATATAGACGTGACAATTTCAGGCCTGCCATGGATTACATTACAAGCCTAATACAGTTTCCTCATCTCCTATACAAGAGCTGCAAAAGCAGGAAGCAAGCGATGATTTGGTTATTGGTGGAGAAGCTGGCTTAATTGGCAAATATGAGAATGTTCATGTTCCTGAATTGCATGAAACGCAGACAATGCTGAATTCTGTTCCTCCAACTAGCAAAGTTAGTACCTCAGTCAAACTCGCTCAGTTGCTTTACAACCTTTTATAAATTAATTAATTTATATTAAATGGTCTACAGGTGTGCACAGATTCATGCAAGGTGTTGCTCAGAACTATGTCTTCCCCAACTCAACAGCAGTGTCAAAATCAAGAAGAAACAAAAAACACTGTCAGTGCTAACCACACTGACACTGCATACAAATATCCTGCCACCAAGCCCAAGATAAGCGTGCAAATTCCAGCTTCCTATACTCCCAACATGGCACCACCCCAATTTATGCTTCCAGTACCGGGGAGATCAATGCCTGTGGCTTTCCAGCAGAAACAACCTCAAGTGCCCATTGAATTCAGGGGCCCAGGTTTTCAAATGCAGTCTATTGGCTCCGTATCCAGCTCCTTGCCCGTGAAGATGGCTGTCCCTCTGGGTAATTCACCTCACATACAACCGATGTTTGTTCATGGTGCTCAGCCTCGTGCATTCCATCAGCAATCCTTCATTCACCACGGACAAGGCTTTGGATGTGCTCCTCCAGCTAATTGTCACCTTCCTCAGTTTGGCAACATGAGAATTGCGCAAGAGTTATCTCAGCATCATCCTAGAAGCGGTGATGAACAGAAGAGAACTATCAAGATAACACATCCAGAGACACACGAAGAACTGATGCTGGATAGACGTGGGCATTCCTTTATAGGTGTTCCTGCTTCTGGGCAGATGCCTTTAAACAATATAAACCAGCTACCTCACTCTGTTCAAACATTTTCTCCACTTCAGAAAGTGTATTATCCTAGACCAGGCACGTACAATTCAGCACCTATCTATCTTCCCAACTCCACTGCTGTCCCTCCTGCAAGTAGGCAAATTTCCTCCAAAATTCAACCCCCGATGCATGGTTTTGATTCCACTAACAGCAACCAGCCAATTACTTCCATCAGACCTTCTATGCCGACATCTTGGCTTGATGCTGCTTCCAGGCCATTGACAAATTTGCATACTGCTTCCGAAATCTCAAATTTCAAAGGGATGCTTCCATCAAACTTACCTGCTCCAGTTCATGTTGAGCTAAAGCCGCCTATTACACTCCCTGCTGAAAAGAATAGTGAATCTACCATATCAAATCAGCAAAATTATCGCAAAATTGGGCTGGAAATGTCTCCTGAACCTGTAAATTTAGTTTATGAAGGAAATAACAAAGATTATGTTGCAACTTGTGATATAAGTTGTAATTTAATATCTCAAGCAGTTTCAACCCAGCAGACACAGACTCAACCAGCTTCAGTTGATCATGACACACCAGTTGTAGGCCCTCAAACTATCTTAACCAGTAACCTGCCTTCGGAATCTACTGCATCTACTAAATCTTCAGTAAAAGCAAAACCTATTGAGGTGGAAGAATCGTTAGTGGTTCCAACAACTTTGTCGTCCCATGCAAAACTCGAGTCATCGCATACTGAGGCTTCTGGCAGAACTGCTAGTGTCATTTTGACTGCAACTTCATTAGTTTCCAATATTGATGGGACGTCACCGACTAACAGGAACTATAAATATCATGGCAATAGCATTTTGGGGAAGCCTCCATTAATTTATGCACAAGAAATGGTGCCACCAAAGTTTGCGGGGTCTAATACATCCACAGAAGGTCTTGGAAAGGCAAAGGTGAATCCAGTTCCCTTCCAAGAAAAGTTTTCTTCTGAACTTAATGGTTTAGTTCCATTGCAAAACCATGACTTCATGATAGAAGAACGTGTTCCAAACGAAAAAGGGATGTGCTCAGAGTCAAAGAAAGAACAAGTAGATGCGACCACGCCAGGTACTGCCTTTGGATTGGAGGATGACACTAGTGTTGCTAAATCTGGAAGATTTCATGCATGTCACCAGTCAGTTGATTGGCATCCTTCCATATACGTTGGTGATATCCAAACGTCAAATGACAATCAGCAACATTCATCGGATGCAGAAATCATAACATCTCAATCAGAGAACAAGAAGAATAACAGTAGAGTAGACTCTGCAAGGGATGTCAAGAATGCAGCCCCTATTTCTACTTCAGCTATCTCCCAGAGGAAAACGGAACAAGAGAGGATTGATTCAGAAATATCTAATCCTTGCTCCACGACTGCTGCTTCAGTTGTGCAAACAAAAAAAGTTGTTTTGGAGTCAACAAAGGCCAAAAGTATCAATGGACGAAGAAAAAAACGAAAGGAGACACTTCCTAAGGGTAGAGGACAGAAGTATTATGATCTTGATAGTGCACCCAGTTCTCTCAATGAGAATGTCGAGAGTTTTGTTACTTCAGAGGATGTTCAGTGTTCCTTGACAACTGACTTAAAGCTGAATTGTACATGGGATGCTGAAAAGGACAATTCAACTGGTGGGAATGATTGCCAGAACAGAAGTGACTCGTTCAACTGGGAAGATACAGCAGAAAACTCTGCTGACAAGTTGAAAGTGTTTGGGGGTACCCATTCTAAAAGTGGAGCAGAAGTAAACAAAGATAAATCTGAGTTTGACCGTCAAAAGTATTCCCGGGATTTTCTTTTAACATTTGCACAAAGCTGCATTGAATTTCCTGCAGGTTTCATGATTGGATTTGATATTTCCGAAGCAGTAATGAGTGTACATGTTGGTACTCCATTTATAGACAATACTCAACTTAATCCAAACCATGCAAGGATAAAAGATCGAGGTTCCCGAGCTAACCGTCATATGGCTGGTAAATTTTATGATGATAAGTGGAGAAACCAGTTTTGTTCTCCTGTTTCTGGACGTAACCTGCCTTCTGACAATGTTCATCAACCTGCCTTTTCTAATTGGGATGCAGTACAGCATGTTGGGAACGGATCTGTAAGAAGTCTATCGCAAAGCCAGCCATTCAGTCAATATAGTGGTGAGATGCTCTCCAGAGCTATGAAAGAAGTAGTATCTCAGCGCAGCATGTCACGTGGCTCTGTTGATGAGAGGTGGCAACATAGAACTAATGCTCAGGGTATTTCATTTTCATCACCTTCTCAAGTATCTATGCCAGTTATGCACAAAGCTGAGAAAAAATATGAAATAGGTAAGGTGTCTGATGAGGAAGGGTCAAAACAAAGGCAGCTGAAAGCTATTCTGAATAAGTTAACCCCCCAAAATTTCGAAAAACTTTTTGCGCAGGTCAAGGAGTTGAATGTTGATAATGTGGTCACACTTACTGGTGTCATATCTCAGATATTTGACAAAGCTTTGATGGAACCCACCTTTTGTGAGATGTATGCTAGTTTCTGTTTCCGGTTAGCTGGTGACCTACCGAACTTTGTCAAAGATGATGAGAAAATCACCTTCAAACGACTGCTTTTAAATAAATGCCAAGAAGAATTTGAAAGAGGTGAAAGAGAGCAGGCTGAAGCAGATAAAGCAGAAGAAGAGGGTGGAGCGAAACAATCTGAAGGCGAGAGAGAGGAGAAACGGATTCGAGCACGGAGACGCATGCTAGGAAATATTCGATTAATTGGGGAATTGTACAAAAAGAAAATGCTGACAGAGAGAATAATGCATGAATGCATAAATAAACTGCTAGGTGAGTATCAAAACCCAGATGAGGAAGATCTAGAGGCTCTGTGCAAATTGATGAGCACAATCGGGGAGATGATAGATCATCCCAGGGCAAAGGTACATATGGATTTTTATTTTGACCTTATACTGAAGCTGTCAGAAAATGTGAAGTTATCATCCCGTATAAGATTTATGCTGGAAGATGTGATTGACCTTAGAAAAAACAAGTGGAGGCAGAGAAGGAAAGTAGAAGGGCCAAAAAAGATAGAGGAGGTCCGCAGGGACGCAGTAAAACAGAAGTTTGGCCAATCAACTAGGTTTGGCTCTTCTCCTAATTATAACTCATCTGTTACTTGCATTAACTCTGGGTTAAGACCAGGGCCTCCAGATAGCACACGTGGATCTTCTGCCTTGGCTTCTCGTGGATCTTCTAAAGTTCGTGCATATGGATCCCAGAATGTTAATCTAGATGCTAGATATCAACCTTCAAATAGAGTTTTGCCTGTTCCACTCCATCAAAGGCGTGCTGATAAATCCATTCGCCTTGGTCCTCAAGGTGACTTAGGAAGAGGAATGTCGCTTTGTGGGAAGCAACCAGTTTCAAATGACATTTTGCCAGAAGTTCCTTTAAATGCTCATCATGGTCAGACATCAGAAAACTCAAGAGACAGTTCATTTACAGGAGTGACAAGTAATGCAACAAGCTTCAGAGCCAGTAATACATCCTGGGGAATGGCGGATCTTTCTTCGCCAGTACCGTCAACTATAGGTCAAACGCATACATCCTCCACAGTCAGAAAGGAGATGTGTGCTGAAACGCAGACATTCCCTGAAGAGGTTCTTCAAGAGAAATCGATACTAACCATAAAAGAATTTTACAGGTAAGTTCCCATCTGTCATGCTTTATTTGATATTCTGCTAATGCTATATTTGTGTGTTTCTCATTTATTACGAAATATATGCTGAGAGATAGGTGTCTATTATTAGCACTTTAGGATGTTTTATTTAAAAGTATTTCCCTAAGCTATCAAATTTAATTAATCAGCTATTTTGTAGGGTAAAGTCCATTTTAAGCCCTTCAATTGTCGTGCAATTCCAATTTGTAACCTCCAAATTTATTTCCCTCCATTCCAAATTATAGTTCACTTTAGTTTTGCCCTAAGTCAAACCTCTCTAGTTTTGATCAAGTTTACAGAAAAATGCATCAACATCTATAGCATTGGATTAGTTTCATTAAATTATCCATGAAATATGACTTGACAGTGCATTTATTTGAACTTGTAGATGTTGATATATGTTTCAAAAAACTTAGTCAAACGAGAGATGTTTGACTTAGGACAAAACTACAATGAACTATAATTTGAAATAGATGGAGCACTAGACAACTTACACCCTTGAACTATTAATCGAACACAGTACACCCCTTCACTTGCGGGAAGGCGGTTTTCATCCAACATGTCAGACGCATTGCAGTGGCTTTGCCACATGGACTTATTTTAGGATGATTCAACAGGCCAATCAGCATAAATAAATAAATAAGCCAAGTAACAGTGAAACTGAAAGAGGTAGAATATGAAATGTAATTGAGGCCTTCTGTTAAAGCTCACCATATGTTTTTCTTAAAACTTATTTCATGATACTGCTAACTTACTGCTGAATCAATTAACCTAAAACAGGATTATGGGGTGAAAGCAGTGCCACCGTAGTTCAAGGGTGTAAATTGTCTGGTTTTGAAATCAAAGGTTGAAAATCAAACTCCAACGATTGTTGAAGGGTGCAAAATGGACTTTACCTTTTTTTAATCCACAGATGGTACAAGTGAATCCCATGTAATTATGGGCCCATTTTAGGAAAAGAAAACTATGAACTTACATTGTATGGTGTCCAGAATGTTTTGTTTATATTAATCCTTTGATAGCTACATCTTTAATTGGGTAAAGAATCTAATCTGCTACTATGATTTTATGAGAAAGAAAAGGTCTGCTTTTTTGTGTTATCTTTGTTGGTGATTCTTTCCAGTCATAGGTAGCCTTCTTTTATTATAGCATATGTTCATATACAAGCATAAATTTTGCTTCTCAGAATGAATTTGTGTATAGCGTAACTCAAACAGACTATAAGTAAAGAGTTATGCATGGTACTGCCTACTAGCATGTTTGATATTTCTGGGAAGCTGATTAACAGAGGGGAGCAAACATGGAACCTCTACTTAGTTGCAGGTTGCCATATTCTTAGTGTTACACTGACATAATATTTGGTGCTCCCAGTGCTAAGGATGAGAAGGAGGTCGCTCTGTGCATGAAAGAACTGAATGCTCCCAGCTTCTATCCTTCCCTTGTGTCACTTTGGATCACTGACTCGTTTGAAAGAAAAGACCTGGAAAGAGAACTCTTGGCCAAGCTTTTGGTGCACTTGTGCGCAGCTCAAGAGCATTTGCTGAGCCAGAGGCAGCTACTCCAGGGGTATGGTCCATTTGCACATAACAGAGCTTCTTTCTATAGTTGGTGACTTGGTTTCAAAACCCCCACTGACCATCTGCCTTCTTTGCCAAATTGCCAGGTTTCAACATGTTATATCTACCTTGGAGGATGCCGTGACCGATGCGCCGAAAGCGACCAAGTTCCTGGGCCAAATATTTGCCAGAGTCATACTGGAAGACGGGATCTCGCTGACGGAGGTAGGAGGACTGCTGCAGGAGAGGGATGGCAGGGAAGAGCCAGCAGGACATCATGCCCTGGACGACAGCCTCGCATCCGAGGTTCTGGGGAGCATGCTGGAGTCCATCAGAGTGGAGAGGGGCGACAACGCCGTGGACGAAATCCGCGCAAAATCCAACCTGCAGCGGCCCGGGGTGTGCGTCTGACGCCTGATCAGGGGATTCAGGGTAGGAAGCAGGGTGCCTAGATTGCTCGGTGTTGCTTTTGGTAGGTTGTCGGGATCCTAACCTTAGAAAGAAAGGTAAGGTTAGATGAGATTTTGCTGGTCTTTTGTTTTCCTTGTGTTACAACTACTGTTGCAGAACAACTTGTTGAATTTCCTGTCCTGGATAGGCTGCCTTTTAAATCTGCGTCATGTTGGTTTCGTGTTTCATTGATGATTTGTGCCGTTGGTGTTGTGTGTTGCTTTCTCCCATGTCTGATACCTCTGGTGTCTGCTTCGAAGACGATGTCTTCACCGACTCGGTCGGGGGGGGGGGCACCTAAGCGCCCCTTTGGAATACAGGTGTAGAAAAAAATCATAGGAATCAGTTCATTTTCACAGAAAAAACACGAATCAGTTCATTTTCACGGAAAAAACACGAATCAGTTCATTTTCATAGAAAAAACACACAAAACTGAAAAAATCTGGCGTTCCAAAGGGAGGCTTAAGACACTCTCCACACAGTTTCACAAGGCCACTTCGAAGATGGGCTTCAAAAAATTGCATTCTTATAGACAGGAGATTGAATAGCATGCCACCATCATATTTGACAATCGAAGTAAAAAAGGCGCACAATGACAATCAGAGTTTAGAAATATGAACCGTGTAGTCATGTTGATGCAACCATCATTTTTTACGTGGCAACTATCACAGCAGCGGGAGAATAATAGAATATAGGTGACAACGACATCACACGCGTTGCCCTCTTTAACTGCGAAATTAAAAATACAATAACTTTTTTTTGAAAAAATATGGATGTTTTTTAAATAAAAAAAAACACATATACGAAACCATTAGAACCACAGTACATAAGATCGTGAAAAAATATGGAATGATTGACTAGGCTAAACAAACCACAAGCATCAAATCAGAATGTCCGGCCAGAGCAAGAAACCACACTAGGGAGGTCAGCCGGGGGTCAGGTGTATTCCAATGTCGTGTCGTGTGAACAATGCAGGGGCCATGGACAGACATAAACCAGCAGATCACAATGCGCTATTGGACGCAGATGAACTTTTACACATTCAACCTTCAAATTTGTCACGGCTTATGAATTTTGAACCCAAATACCCTGGGATCGTATTGCTGCAACGGCTTCTGCGGCTTCAAATGCGGGTATGTCATCAGGAACAAGTGGGGGAATGTTGTCCCAAAGTAAGTCCCGTCGATGTCTACATGACAAGTCAAGGGTAGGGTACAATGGCCTATGTTCCAAAGCATGAAACACAATTCTTACAATGCTACAGAAGAAAAACAAACATTTTTTCCTGTCAGCCCAAAAACCATTCTTACAATGTATTATGGCATTTCATATTTCCCTCAAAAAAATATATGCCATTTCGTTTGTTCACAACTTTTGCATCCATGTTATACAGTGTTCTGAACCATAGTAAAAGTTTTTGGGATGAATTAGCTTGATGTACAAGTAAAACATTGACTACCAAGAGTAAGTTTAGCATGTCATAGGCTCAGAGCAATGTGGAAACTTGAATGTATGTTCTTTTCCTAAAAAATTGCACATGAACCCAACAACATTTGCTTTAATGAAGTGAATAGTATTGCAGGCTATCAGTTTGGGTATCCTATAAAAAACACATTCTAGGCTTCTAGCCAAGTGCTGCAATGTGGAAGGCACAAGTAAATGAAGTGTAATTACACAGCCCTAACCCCTAAGCTCGGAGGCATGTCAGCAGCTTGCAATGTCAATTATCTATTGACATAGAGATCACATGATGGTAAATATTTTCAGCAACCATTAGTAAGACAGCAAACTTAAACAGAAATGAAAGGATACTGCTTAGATATTTGGATCTTGGAGTGTAGATATCTTCACATCTAGGGCAGTAAATCTTCACCATACTCGAACGAGGAACATCCGACTGCCCAACAGGAAGACATGGTTGGCCGCTGCAATTCACTCGAGGGCATCTACTGAAATCAACGCTCTTGTACTTATCCAGCTGCACAAACATCAAATGTGATAATATACAAATTCATAAAAATAATAATCTATCCATCAGAAACAATTTGAGAAAGTTTACCATTGCAGACAACCCTTTACTTGTAATAATATACCGAACATGAATCAATCCATAGAGCATCTCAGCAGCTGATTCAATGAGTTCATTTTGCTCTTCTGTGAACATATCACCTGTGTAATTGTACAAGCCTTATTGGAAAAGGTGTTGTGTCATACAATAATTTAGCTTCCTTTTAGCAATAATAACATCTATTGCAAATAGTACAGACTACAGACACACTATTCCAGTATCCTAGCTGACAGTTGGGGGTCCTTGGTTTGAGGAACCACCTCATCCTAGCTTACACTTGACTGGTCCATCATTAGTTCATCAAAAGAAAGAATTTTGGTGGTGCGACTCCATCCTTCATGCTTATACTAATTACAGTAAAATCCACTGGTGGTCCTCAAAACTTGCCCAGTAAACCATCAGGTCCATGAACTTGCAGATTGCATAAGCAATTAAGCATATATACCTAAACTTACTAAACAATGTCATCTAGGTCTAAATCCCCTTAGAGACACGGAGGCATACCTAGATGGCACGCCGACCACCATGATATGAAACATGTGCTCCATCACATGCCTAGTTAGCTCCAACGGGGTCCATCACACGTCAATGATAAGTGGCTGCCCAGCGGCCATCACCGTGGCTTAGGGAGATCAGAGGTCCTGTGGGCGAAGGTGAACTCCACCAAGGGGTTTGCTTTTTGGTCAGTGGTGATATGGCATGGTTAGGTACTACCATAGTAGATGTCGAGAAGAATATGGGCCCACGCACTCATGGTGACCACTGACCAGTGAGGGATGGAAATGGACCCCTCCCTCTCGGAGCAGATCAGGCATGTGAATGAAGCACACACTTTTTTCACGAACAAGACCATCTTGGCCTGTTTTTCATTAAGAGGGAAGAAGCACACACTTCTGTATCACAGTGGCATGCCACATATTATTTAAGTTTTAGCATCTTGTATGGGATTCGGACATAGATGACACAGCTTATTAAGTTTAGGGATGTGAATATGCAATATATAAGTTCATGGAACACTTATTAGTAAGTTTAGGATGGGTTTTTGCAATCTGCAAGTTCATGGACAAATTTGAGGGCCAGCAGTGGATTTTACTCAACTAATCATTACTACTCCCTCCATTTCAAATTATAAGACGTTTTGGCTTTTTTTAGATACGTAGTTTCTGCTATGCACTTACATATACACTAAATCTAGATATATAGCAAAAGCAATGTATCTAGAAAAGCCAAAACGTCTTATAATTTGGAACGGATGGAGTAGGTTGCAAGGGATGAGGCGGTGACAGATCAGCCCAGTCCATTCCACAAAAAAAAAAAAAAATGTGAGAAGACGATGGACTACTCCATTCATCAAACCAAACTACCTCTTAATTCTAAATTGATAAGCTTCATTCTAACATTTTTTCTATCATGCAGAAAAAAATAGAAGACATTATAATGCTTTACACAAGTTTTAGGGGCATGCATATTAGTGCTGCTTCTGTGGTTCAGCTACTCCTCTATACAAGTGTTGTTACATATGCACCTAGAATTTATGGTCAAATGTCATGCAGATGCGGGGACATACAGTGTTATGTGATTATATAACACCATATTACAGTTCCAAATTTCTACATCTTATTTCATCCACTCAGTCGGGATGTGAAATTCAATATACCATAACTGAAAACAAGACAACTAGGAACGTAAATCGTTACTAATATTAATAAGAGTGATCTGTTCCTTAATTCCTTGTAGTGGGTCCAAGGTGATTGCAGAAGAGTTTACATGAAATATATTGGTTCCTATCATCCTATGATACAACAACTGGAATAGTTTTCATTTAAAAGAACAATCTGGTCTCCAATCCCTAACAGTCTGTTCCAGCATCTTGCACAACTTCATGCCACTTCAAATATAATAAAGCTACCAAATCTGAGACTGGTTACAGCTGGTGGAAAAACAGTATGAGCCCTCCAACCATGTTCTATCTAAATTGAATGTTAAAAAGAGGAGGGGCATACCATGGGAAGATTCAACATCTAATATCAGATCAAGCGCATAGTCGTAATATGGAACTTGGTTGCTTAGCCCACAGAGGTTGAAATCATCTTGTATGTACTCATCATCAACCTCACAGAAAAACTCATTACCCCTTAAACTACAGAACCATGAAATCCACGAAGTATCTTCCCCATCAGAACCACTCACATCTGATTCTTCGCTGTCGGTTTCTGATTCTGCTGTAAATCGATCAGCACACAAATTATGATACAAAGAAATGTCAAGAACCACTAGAACATGAACTACAACAACTTTAGCTAAAGTAGATAAATAAAACGTGTTGCAGAGCATACCATCACTAGCATTAAGCAATACATAACGCTTTAACCCAGCACATGGAATGTATGGATAAATATCCCCGAATTGACCATGCGCATCCATAAGACATGAAACAAAATACATGGTTGTGAAATCTGATCATCTGATTCAACTAATCAGACAAAAACTTAAATTGCTGAATTGTTCTGGTGAGGCGATGTTCCTTATTCAAAACAGAAAAGTAGATTTCGACTGTAAAAGGTTAACAAGAATTGCTGTTCACTGCAGAATAGTAGGCATTAAATTTCCACTGATCATACAACAAGGTTGCTGGGAGATATGTAAGCAAGCAAGTACAAATATCTAGTTTAAGCAGTTTGCAATCAATTCATTTAATTTGCAGTTTGAATTTTGGAATTCTTCGTATTCTGCCTGTTTGGCCAATTTGAGTCAGAGGTTGTTTCAACACTAGAGCTTGTCTGGGCCTCTTTTCTCCTTTTGGTTGAACTAGTCTGTCCTCTAGCATTTCAGCATTGTCTCCACAACGATTTGGGCTCAATATCTCGAAAATGCAGGAGAGCTGCATTTTTGGGTCAATGTCTGACACCTAGCATTTTTCTCAAGTCAAAGCTACAACTACAAGCAACCACATATATAAGTGATCCTGCTGAATGACCTTGGTCACCAAAAAGGTGCATAAAAAGTAAACATAAATTGACCTAACAAGCAAAGAAAGACAACTGACAAAATGTCACACCAAATGAGCACCAAACCTCCTTAAACATGCCACCAAAGTTATTCACGTTTTTACAACTACCATGCATTACATAAGTTGTGTTATGTTACTAACAATGGTAACACTTGGGTAACTTTGTAGAAGTACCTAGTTATTTACTGTGCCCACCTAGAACTTCCTCATATGCATACAAGATCCACACAAAAAAAACAGTCAAACAAACTAAGAAAGTTAAGCATATATGACTGAACAGCAATACACAGAAATCGTGAAAAAAGGAAGTACCCATCAGCTGGTAAGCAATGTATGAGTGATCTAACAATTGTTCATGCCATTATTTACGTTTCTACTGACAATTCTTTAACCGCATACAAATCCACCTCTAGCAGGCCTAAAAAATTTACTAACAGAGCAAAGAAAGTAACCCACAAAATAATGAAAGCATAATGGCAAGCAACGCTCACCGTCAGAGAGCTTGCTCTTGGACATGGCGGTGGATCCGCCGCCTGAGCGAGGCATCTCCGGCTGCTTCCCCGCGCCGATCCGCTCCTTCTCGCGGCCTCCGGAAAACCCCCATGACGTAGACGGAGACGATCTGTCCATCGGCTCGCCGATCCGCTTCCGGTCACCGGGGACCGCCGCCGCCGAGACGCCTCGGTCTCGGTGCATCTCCTCCCGGCCGACCTCTCCTCGTCCCCCTCCCGATCTTGCGGCGTTACAGCGGGATGGGAACGGGAAGCGGAGCTAGTGTTTGGAGAAGGAGGTGAACGGTGACGGGATCGCGTGCCCTCGTGCCGAGGCCTCAACAGGAGGACGCGACGACAAAGGGGGCGGGGCGGCGAGGAAGAAGGGAGGAGTACGCGGGCGCTGACGTAATCACGGGCTGCTTTGGAGAGGCAGGCGGCTGTTGCCAGGCTGCGTTGTTCGTGCTGTCTATTCGAAAGGCCATTCACGAATTACTGCTCCCTCCGTCCTGAGCAAGTGCACTTAGGGTTTTGGAAAAAGAGATCACTTGTTAATAAGAAATTATATATATCATACGCAAAAAAAATTATATATATACTCTTATAAAAATGTAATTATTACACTTTGAAAAAAGAGAGAGTAGAAAAAGACAAGTAAAACATTATTATGGGATAAGGGGTACTCCTCCATTCCAAATTATAAGACGTTTTGACTTTCTAGATTCGTAACGTTTGTTATACACTTTGATACATTATATCTATATACATAGCTAAAACAATGTATTAAAAAAGACAACACATCTAATATTTTGGAATGGAGAGAGTAGTTTATTTTTTTCTTAGAGATGGAGAAAAAGATATATTACTCATATTTCGGATATATCTGCTTAAAGGAAACAGACATACGTGAAATTCTCGAATGATGTCTATATATACACTAGTTCCTTCTACCAACTGCGTAAGTCTATTGATAGCTTCATTCTACTCTCTTCCTTTGAATCTCTTCCATTCTAGAAGAGTGCCACCTTTTAGGCCATTCGCTTCGCTGAAAAAACAAGTCAAAATACTATTCCGGTTGATTTGTTGTGAAAAAAAAACATTGTCCCGGCTAAAAAACAAGCTGAAAAAGATGGATTATAAGAGAAGCGAACAAGGATGATTGTCGGTGCAGAAAGTGACCAACAAGTAAATATTTGTAGTTTTGCCGTACGTTGTGATCGGAGGTGGCCTAGCACTCAATGACACAGGGTTTATACTGGTTCAGGCAACGTGCCCTACATCTAGTTTGAGTCGGTCGGTGACTTTATTCCTGAACACAGGTGCTCGAAGTTTGCAGTGGGGTTACAAACGAGAAGAAAAAAGATGGGGTGTACGAGATGTCCGGTCGGAAGGCCCAAGAGTGACGGGAGCTCCGCTATGAGATAAGTTTTCAAGCGTGTACTTGAGGTTCGAACCTGGCGGTTCTGTGATTGTGAACTAGTGAACTTGATTGATCTAATCCATTTAGAATGTTGGGAGAGAGCACATCCCTTTTTATAGATGAAATGGATGGCCTTACAAGTGGGAGGGAGAGAGTATGTATGCTTCTAAGCCTTTTGCCCACGCCGGCGGGTATAGGATGATGGTAGGCGCCCGCAACACTGTCGGATGTCGGATGCACGTGGGAGGTTGTGTCGTTTTGTTCGGGTATGGCAGATGTCGGTACCTGCTATATTGTTGATGCCCAGAGACATGTGAGAAGTTTTACCATGTTCACTCGGTCTGTCGATGCCCAGAGGCACGTGAGAGAGCCTTACCATATGTGAGTTAACGGCGCCCACAATACTGTAGGGGAAAATATCGGCGCCTACAACATTGTTTTGGCTCTGTTGTGCCAGGAAGCTTGCAGAGTACTGTTTTCTACAGGTGTACAGGGTACGGTCTCTGGTATCGTGGTTTGACTTCTACGCCCTGCCTTGCTTTCTCTGTCCGTTTCCTAGTCCTTACCGAGCGAGCGTCCCCGGTCGGTTGGTCCCAGTCGGCTCTGATTGCGTCAGTCGGAGAAGAGCAGTGAGCAGGATTTTTGGCATACCCTGGTCAGAGATGTGGGGTCGGAGTCGAAAGTAGTGCTTTGGCCAGGCCTTCCGATCAGAGAGATCGTCCGGAGGCGGGCTGGAGATCGAAGTGAGTGCTCCGGTCGGAGAGGTGGGCCAGAGTCGAAAAACAAGCGCCGCTCCTCCTCGACCAGACCTTCCGGTCGGTGATTGGATCGCCCTACTGGCCTGTTGTACAGATACTTAGGTCGGCCCATGAGTTGCATGTTTGTCCGCCTGGGCCGAGCCTTTGTTGGGAAGCCGGTCCGCGAGGGACCCTAGGTTTATGAACCCGACAGGAGCCCCCGAGCCCCCGAGCAATTCGGGCAGAATCGTCTGGGGGATTTTTGTCTTGACGGCGGGTGCGCGCGAGTGCACCCGCGGGTGTAGCCCTCGAGCCCTCGGGCGATTCGGACAGAATCATCTGGTGGTTTTTCGTGTTGCCAGCAGGGGAGGTTTTCGTTTTCTCAGTGGGTGCGCGTGAGCGCACCCGCGGGTGTAGCCCCCGAGCCTTCGGGCGATTCGGACAGAATCATCTAGGGTGTTTGTTAACGGGCGTGTGTGCGTGTTTTTTAGTCGAGATAGAATTGTTTAACCAAGGCGTCGTTGCGCAGCTGGGGCATTTAGTTTTGGGATTGGGCGAGGTAGAGCTCGTGGATCATGGCGTTGGTGCGCGCCGTGGGATCGGGCGAGGCAGTTAGTTTAGGGATTGGACGAGACGGAGCTCGTGGGTCCTAGCGTCGGTGCGCGCCGTGGGATCGAGCGAGTTGGAGTTGGTGTATCCCGCGCAGCCGAGGCAGTTTAGTTAGTTAGTTTAGGGATCGGGCGAGCCGGAGCTTGTGGATCCTGATGGGGCGAGTTCGGGGTCGCAGACCCGGGAGTTTGGTGTGCAGTCGAAGCGTAGCTGATGGATGGGGCGAGTTCGGGGTCGTAGACCCGGGCGTTTGGTGTACAGTCGAAGCATAGCCGATGGATGGGGCGAGTTCGGGGTCGTAGACCAAAACGTTTGGTGTGCAGTCGAAGCGTAGCCGATGGATGGGGCAAGTTCGAGGTCGCAGACCCAGGCGTTTGGTGTCTTGAGCCCCCGAGCCCCATTGGGCTTTGGTAGGGGTCGGTTTGAGTTGTGTATGTTACCCCGTCCTCAGTTTCTCACAACCGGAGGGGTTGAGTTTTGTCCCTTGTCCCGATCGCTCGGGCTCGAGTGACGCGTTCGGTGAGTTCGCTAACGGGTATGATCGAGTGGAATCCGGGTCCGTCATTCGTGAAAGGGTTGGCATAGCCCTCTTGTGACATTCCACTGCTCCTTTACCTGCAACCCGGCAGATGCCTAGGTCGTTCCGGAGACTGACCCGGGTGGCCTGACGGTCTCCCCTCAATGGAGATTCTTTGGACTTGGCAAGAGGTTCAGGATCGAACGAGAAGGTTGAGATGACCATGTCTGCTTTGGGGCAGACGAGGCGAGGGCCACACGGGGCTCATCTGCGTTTTCTCCCCTGGCTCTGTTTGACATGGGGCGGCCTCGAGCCCTTTGTGGTCTGGCCTTCGAACCCCGGTCGGTCGTTGCTCATGTCAAATGAGGCAACTGTCGCTCCGTGACGCAACACGGAGTGTTGTGATGTATTTCGCTGCACGTGCGATGGCTTAGTTCCCGAGCCCCTGGGCGATTCAGGGCCCGAATCGTTCGGGGGGCACGGGCGTATGGAATGAATGCGTGTATGGATGTATGAAATGATTATAAAGAAATAGGGGTCGGTAGTGTTACCTTGATGACTCGAGTGATGGGGTTTAAAGAGCTCCAATCGGAAATGTCCGACCGGGACCCGTGCTCGTCGTTCATGACGGAGTTGGCGTGGCCTATATGGGGCGTCCCTTCGCTCCTTACCTGTCTCTCGGTGTTTTCTTGAGCCGTTCGATCGACTTAGGAAGACCGATGGTTTCTCCTGGCGAGGATCCTGTCGTTTGGGTTTTTCCAAGTCCCGCCTGGGGAGGCGGAGAGCTGCCTACGTGTGGTGACACTTTGGTTTTTGCGCCCATCGTGCGATAGTGGTGGGCCATACCCAGTCCACATCCCATCTTACCAGGTGGTGTTTCGTCTGACCAGGCGTCGTTCCGTCGGTCAGTGTGCGTCCCATCGGTTAGGGTATGTCCCATCGTTTCCCATCGGCATTGAATGGGGGAAGGGAGAGAGTTTTTCGCTCTGATCTTTTGCCCCTCTTTAGCTGTCGTGTTTTCTCCTTAAATAGGGGTAGGGAGAGGGCTCTCCGTCGTAGCCATTTGCCTGTTCTTCAACTGTTGTCTTTCCTCCTTCCTCCTCACCGAGAGTGCCTATATGCCACGGTGGTTCCTAAGTGAGAGAGATGGTAAGCGAGGGGGAGGACTTATAGATCCTTTCATGAATCCAGAGTGTGATGTTGAGCTGGAGGCTGCCCGGGGCGGTGCTGGCCGTCTTTGCCTGAAAAGGGGCGGCTTCCGCCGAAGGGGGTGGCATGCTGGATTCATCTGCGGGGCCTTTTTTGGGATGGAGTCGTGTGAGGATTTTCTCCGGTGGATCTTCACCGGGTGAGCCTTGTCGGAGGGGAAGTTGCTTAGGATCATGCCGGTGGAGGGTTCCGTGCCTGCAGCTACTCAAGTTGGCCATTTCATAAAGTTTGATGAGATCTCTTCCAGCCATGGTAGCCATACCTCGGTAGCAGCGTCCTTGCCCAGGAGCTGTCTTGACTGCATGAGAAGGTCAGGAGCTCCATGCTCTTCTGTTGAGCATCTATGGGCGTGACGCCCTTGAGGTACCTGTTGCGCTCGCCGAAGTCAAGGGGACAAAACCGGGCGGGTCCCTTGAGGTACCCGTTGCGCTCGCTGAAGTCGAGAGAACAGAACCAGGCGGGGCCCCTATAGCTGTGGTTACGTCTGGCGGCGTGTGCCGTGGTCTCTTCTTTGGCGTCAGGCGATGTCGTCGAGGGGCCGCAGTAGTATTTAGATTAGAAGTAGTTAGAAAATGTAATAGTTGTGGGTGAGCCCCTGTGTGAACAGTTTTGTATCAATGAATCCATCAGTTCTGTTCTTGTGATAGAACCACTATCCGTTCCTTGTTTTTTATCCTAGCATAACTTTTGTTTTTATCCTTTTCTTTATCACA